GAGAAGATTGGTTCCGGGGCTGCGTGAGCTCCGTCTCGTCGCGACTGCTAAAACGAAGACTACAACCTTCCTGCGTTCCATTGACGCATCTCGATTCAAACCTTCTCTCTCTCTCTCTCTCTCACTCTTTTTCTCTCGCTCGCTTGGCAAGGGAGTAAAATATTTTTTCCCTGGGAAAATCCGCGATAATTGAGTTTAAATTTCTCGCACTTCGACTAGCACGGCACGCTTCTTGTTCGTCTCTCCCTAGCGAGATTTTTTTTTTTCCCCTTGTAGCCGAGGAGCGAGGTTTGACTTCCGACACTGACAAAGAATCTCGCAATTGGAGGGCCGCCACCGTCGTCATCGTCGTCGTCGGTAGCGTCGTCACCTCAAGAAGAAAATTCTTCGCGGCAAGAAAAAGAAGTAAGAAATGTTCGCGTGAGCAGATCCGATCGATGGAGGTAAACCCAAGGGCAAGAGGGAGACAGGTTCGCGATATTGCCAATTTCGATATCACTCTCATTTTCCCTCCTCCTTTTCATATCCCCTTTACCAAACCCCCCCCCCTACTTCTTTTCGTACCGGCTACAGGCCCTTGAGTCAAGTTTCGAATAGGTCGTCAGCAGATGAGATTCCGTTCACTTTTACGACAATAGTCCCCTTTTTATATCGACCTAGCTCATTCATTCTAAATCTTTCCAAATTTCAAATATATAAAAGAAAATTGTCATCGACATTTCATTTTATATTATCCAATTATTTATGTTTATACGCTTTTTTTAAATTTCAGTAAAGTCTGAGTGCAACAATTTCGTAGATTTTGTAATCAAATTTTTCTTGTTTTAACGAAAAAAAAAAATTTGATTACAAATTGAGAAATTTCTTTTCTTATTCTCTCTCTCAATATGAATCAGTGAAAAATTCATGACAACCGTATCCATAACAATTGTTACCATAGCAACTGTTTCCATGACCGTTTTTTTCTTAGCAACCGTTGCTAAGGATTTTTTCTAACATAATAATAATATTTGGTAATATTAATAATGCGGTCACGAAACCCTGCGATTATATTTTTACTGAGAGTGAAATTTATTAGTGGTTTTTATTACAGATTAGTACTGATTCAAGTTAGCTAGAATTTACACTGAGAAAAAAAATTTAGTGTTTGCAACAAAATTGTTTGATTAGTCAATTTTGGTTCTTGTAACCAAATTTTGGTTGGCTGAAACAAAGTCGCAGAGTTATCTCAACCAAACATTTGGTTAAGCTAACAAAATTATTTGGTTGAACATTTTTAAATTCTAACCAAAATTTGGTTGCGACAACAAAATAATTTGGTTAACACAACAAAATAGTTTGGTCTAAAAAACCAAATGATGGTTTGTTGTCCGAACCAAAATTTGGTTGCGACAACCAAATAATTTGATTCGCTCTCAGCTCATAGCTTGAGAGAACAGTTAGTTTAAATCTCTCACAAGGATGGGTAGTCCAGTGGTCAGAGCTTCTGATCTTCAGTTTTAAAACAGAGGTTCGATCCCAGGCGGAAAAGAGATTTTTTAAAGTCCACAAATATTTCAATTGGATAAATATAAATTCAATATTAAATTGATAATAAATAAATAATGAAATAAATAAAAAAGATAAAAAGAAAAGAGATAAGGTAGAATAAAATTTTTAATTTTACAAAAAAACTGTTGTTTTGATCAACCAAACATTTTTGTTGAACTAACAAAAAAAATTTGGTACAGCTAACCAAACATTTTCGGTATGCCAACAAAAAAACACTCAACCAAATTTTTTGGTTGACTCAAACAAATAGTTTGGTTGCTTAAATACCAACAAAATTTTTTTTTGGCCCAACTAAATTTTGGTTGCTCTGACTAAACATTTTTCTCAGTGTATGGTAACTGATTTATAGACCAGTGAATTTGGCAAAAAAATAACCGTTTTTCCTGCTATCATAAAATTAAAATTACATTTGAAATAAAAAAAATATAGATAAAATCAAAAAATTTTGAAATCATAAAAATTAAAAAAACAAATCTCTCTTTTTTTTCTAGTGAATGGAATAAAGGATTCTCGAGAGACTTCAATAATCTTCTACTTCTGAGATTCAGTCCTTGGGCTTGTATAATCCGCTTTATGGACGGAGATCTACAATGTAACTCAGGAGTTAAAGATTTAACCCCCCCCCCCAGCTGAAGACGAGGTCGGGGATATTGAATTTTACCCATCTTCATCTCCTACTTCGGCAACGAAAATCGACTTCCGCCTTGCGGATTGATTTTCAAAATATATACACCTTTAGATAAACTCTGGCAAAATTCTCGCAAGACGTGCTTTTCCATTTCGAAAAGATAATATCGAGAAACAATAAACTTTAAAAGCCCCCCTCCCCCGCCCCATCCCTATCTTCTTTCCCTTGGTGTCAGTAATGTAAATTTTTAAAGGTCCTTAATTTTTAAGATACTGCCTCGAGCGATTTGTGTATACTTAAAAAATCATATCAATTATTTGAATAAAATTAATCGCATTTTATTGCAATTTGATTGACATTAGATGTCATTTACCTCAACAATTTAAAAGTGTCTCAAAAGCTCATCATTTCAAATATAAGAAATTTCTGCTTAAATAATTGTGAAGTCAACTTTTAACTTAGAATATTAAAAACTTTTTGGAGAGTATCGTTTCCCTATAGAGTTTAGTGATTATGTATAAACGAATTTAAATTGACGCGCCTCAGTAAACGTATCAGACACTCGACGTACAAGAGCCCCGAGGGATAACACGTATGCAGGTAACGGGGAAATATCCTTTCCCTCCATTCCCCTCTCCCCTTGAAACTTGGAAACTATCCTACCCTATCTGTCGTAGAGAATTTGGAATTTTGTTGCCAACGAGTGCCATAAGCGTGTAAACCGTGAGTTTCGAGAAGGATGCGGTTATTCTTGATGTATATATATATATATATATATATATAAGGGAGTTTGGTATCTCTTTACGACTTTTATGAAACGATTTATTATGAGAAATTCATCTAGAAACTTTTACTGAATGGATGATGCGATTTAGAATGCTCTCTTCGTCGAAAGACCCCCTATCTGTATGCAAATTTTCCTCAAAAAAAAAAAAAAATAATAATTTCTTCATTTAAGACAAAGTTATTATAAAAACAAAATAATTTTTATGAAACTAATTTTTTCCTTTTGTAATTTATTTTAACAAAAATTTTTCGAAATTAGAAAAAAAAATAGGCAATAAAATTTCACGAAAGAGAGAACAAAAGAAATATATCTGCTTAGAATTAGAAAAGTTTTGCGCAAAATCACATTGGCAATAAAGTCATCGAATGTGTTTGGGAGAAAATTGTGTGCAACTTCACTTTGTTCAGTGAGACGTGTGAATCTCGCTTCTGTCCGGCTTTTATATTATACCGTATCCTATATATCGAAACGAGAACACGTCGCGTCGACCAACCCCAACGATATATATATATATATAAGAATAAAAGTTCCCGACGAGTTTTGCACTTAGAAAGCTTCCCCAAAGTCCCAATCGGCTGTCGTTTTCAAGACTTGCAGCGTTTGCTGGGTCGTATACTTACAGGTTATCGACCTGAACTTAATACGTACACTTATCACGCTGCAATGATCTTGTTAGCAACTTTTTCCCCAACCAAAATAGGGAGAGAGAGAGAGAAAGCTTTTGAGCTTAGCGACGGTTAAAAGGGTAAACCCCCCTTATTGGCTTTAGAAACCTTGGAACTTTAACGTTGTTGTGCATAGAGCCTTGGGGCCTTTTTATTGCCGAAACTTTATCCCTAAAATTCACTATTAGTCTTTATCTGATATCTTTTTCATAATTTTCCTTTACATTTCTTTTTGCCATTAAAAAAAAAAGCTCTTTGAACTTTAGACTTTTGAATATAAGAAACTTTTGATCTTCTCCACGACATTTTATTGCCTAAATTAGCTCTCATCCTTTAGAAGCCTGCTTCATTTTACGACAACCCGTTTCCTTAAACTTTCAACCCACATTGAATTGTTCAAGCGTTTATGATTTTGTTTCACGTTTATGGATCAGGAATGTGAAGCGCCTGCATTGTTAGGTAACTTACTTTCACAAAGTAGATTTTCGAAAACTGTCAATTATTTTGCTAAATTTAATAAGTTTATATTTTCATTAATTCAAGAGAATTTGAAAGAATAAAATTGAAATTCGATTGAGAAACTGTCGTAATTGCATGCATTGCAAATATATTCGATATCAGGAAATAGAGGCATTCAGTTTCGTTCACTTGCAACAAAATTTACTCACGCTCCTATGAACTCTAAAAGGATTAAATGGAAACTTGTCTATCTATTAAATCCACATTCCCAGCTCACACATATATACTAATACTAAAACTAATTAAATGTAGTAATGTGGTATAACCATTACTAATTCGAGTTAACACCTTCTAATCAAGGTACGTATATTTGCCATGTTGCTCTTGATACATGACATTAATTCATTAAACTTGTATAACCTGCCTTCATACAGATCTGCTTAACGCAGCACAACTGACCTCGAAAATAATCATTAAATTACCATCGAGTATAATTAGTAACATGCATAAATTTATATCAGATTGCTGCTGGAATTCACTGCAAATAATTTGTTACCAAATACATACCTTATAATATATAATATAATTTTTAAATTCCAGTCTTGTAATAAAAAACCAAATTCTAAAGTTCCATTTCCCCGAGGCGTATTCTTATTTTTAATGGATATAAATTTAAAAAAATTAAATATAACTTATAATTAACGCAGTAGCAACGACAACAACAACAGCAAAAAAAAAACCATAAAAAAAGGTGGTGAGCTTTACACTCAAACGTAATTAATTAATGAAGAAAGACCCCCTTTAAGGTATGCTTTCTCGAGATTGTTTGGGACTCGAACACGTGGCCTCCCAGAGGGAGGATTTCAAACTCCGAAAAGCAAGTGAAAATGAATAATTAATCTTCACTCACCGACATCTTGCGAACCACCCCAGGTGCCCAGCTGTGCCTGTCGGGCTAACCTGGACAAAGCATCCACGTAGACGCGTGAAGCGGCAGCAGCTCCTAAAAAAAAAGAAAAAGAGATATGAAAAAAATTAAATTTCCATATATAAAAATTCTATTCTATAATTCATCAATCTGTCACATTCTTTTTCACTAATCTTTTCGTTTTAAGTTATTTTCAACGCAAAACGGAAATTTGAATCTATGATAATAATTTATAACGATCGATTGCTAACTATCGATTAGTAACTGATATAACAATTATAATTTTCCTCCATAACTGCAGTTATTTTTTTACTATCATTAATTTTGAGTAGTATCAATTGTAATTATCATATTTTTTATCTGCCATTAATTAGAAGTACCATTAATTGAAACTTATATTGATTGTATATCAATTGCAACTTCTATATTTTATAACTAGTATTAATTGAAACTACCATCAATTTTAATTACCATCGTTTGCAACTGCAACGAGTTACCAATTATAATTGCCATTACAATTGAAACTTCTATCGGTTGTAACTACCATAACTTGTAATTACCACCAGATTTAATTACCATCATTTAAAATTGCAACCAATTGTAATTACTATTAATTATAACTACCATTAATTATAACTATTATCAACTATAACTTCTATTAATTTTAATTACTATCAATTGTAACTATTATTAATTTTAACTACCACTAATTGTAATTACTATTAATTATAATTATTATTAATTGTAACTACTATCAATTATAACTACTATTAATTGTAACTATTACTATTTGTAACTACCACTAATTGTAATTACTATTAATTGTAACTACTATCAATTGTAACTACTATCAATTGTAACTAATATCAATTGTAACTACTATCAATTGTAACTACTATCAATTGTAACTACTATCAATTATAACTACTATCAATTATAACTACTATTAATTGTAACTATTACTATTTGTAACTACCACTAATTGTAACTAATATCAATTGTAACTACTATCAATTGTAACTACTATCAATTGTAACTACTATCAATTGTAACTACTATCAATTATAACTACTATCAATTGTAACTATTATTATTTGTAACTACCACTAATTGTAACTACTATCAATTGTAACTACTATCAATTGTAACTACTATCAATTGTAACTACTATCAATTATAACTACTATCAATTATAACTACTATTAATTGTAACTATTATTATTTGTAACTACCACTAATTGTAACTACTATCAATTGTAACTACTATCAATTGTAACTACTATCAATTGTAACTATTATCAATTATAACTACTATCAATTATAACTACTATTAATTGTAACTCTTACTATTTGTAACTACCACTAATTGTAACTACTATCAATTGTAACTACTATCAATTGTAACTACTACCAATTGTAACTACTATCAATTGTAACTACTATCAATTGTAACTACTATCAATTATAACTACTATCAATTATAACTACTATTAATTGTAACTCTTACTATTTGTAACTACCACTAATTGTAACTACTACCAATTGTAACTACTATCAATTGTAACTACTATCAATTGTAACTACTATCAATTGTAACTACTATCAATTATAACTACTATCAATTATAACTACTATTAATTGTAACTATTACTATTTGTAACTACCACTAATTGTAACTACTATCAATTGTAACTACTATATTGTAACTACTATGAATTGTAACTACTATCAATTGTAACTACTATTAATTGTAACTACTATCAATTATAACTACTATTAAATGTAACTATTCCTATTTGTAACTATTACTTTTTGTAACTACCACTAATTGTAATTACTATTAATTGTAACTACTATCAATTGTAATCACCATTAATTATAGCTACCATAATTTATAACTACTATTAATTGTAACTCCAACCAAACGGAGAAAAATTTCAAAGCGGCGGGAATCGAACCCACGACCTTAATCTCCACAAGTCGATAACCTAATCCCCTAACCATTGACACACGCTACAAAGGTCTTCACAATACTATTTTCTCTATTTTATACAATCTTTAATTTTTTTTTTCTTTCATTGGTATAAAATAAAACAATATTTTACAATTTATTGCACGAATTAGTAAATTTAACTACCAAATAAATTAACTAAAAAAAATAACAATTTACAGTTTTTTAAAAAAAAATTGTATCCAAAAAACAAATTTTCCTCCACTTAAGAGCAAAAAAAAGAAAAGAAAATGTTATCAGTGAAAAAGAAATTTCTTTCTGAGGTACTAAATTTTATTTTTGTAATCTTGATCTTTATTTTTCTGTTAAGCCACATGATATTCATTCGATGAGCTATAGAAGGATTCTACACATATATATATATATATATATATATATACCTATATATATATATAAAAGTTGAAATTTTTAGGAGAATGAAATTTAGCACATGTGAATAAACGACTATCACTTTTCACTTCACGTTCTCGTTAAGAGCTATGGGGTAGAAAAATTGGGACGATCGACGAGTATGCGGCCAAGTGTAAGAGGTTTTCACAGAATGATATCGCTGCAAAATTGGCGGCGCGTTCTCTCTGTTTTCTCCCCCTTTGGAACACGCCTTCTTATAAATACGACATAGTGTGGTAACTGCCTTGTTCAAGGGGTTGGAAACGTTTGGCAACAGTCAACGTAAGCTCTCTTTCTCTGTTTTATATTTATATATATATCTCGACAAAAATTCGTCTTTTCTACTTTCTTCACAATAATCCATCATTCGATAAATTTTAACTAATTTTCAAATATGTTTTCTATTTTTTTTTCTCAATCATTTTTTATTTTAAATTGAATAAAAAGATTTTTGTATTTTAAAATAATTATAATATTTTAACTGAAGGAAATAATTTTCGTTTTGTTTTTTAATTAATATTTATTAGTTTCAGAGGGAGTCAAAAAATTTTTTTGCTGTGCTCCTTATTGCAAACCGTTCCATGACAACCGTTTCCATGACAAACGTTATCATAACAACCATTTCTATGGCAATCATTACTATGATCGTTTTTTCCTAAGCAACCGTTGCTAAGGACGTTTTTCCTTAGCAACGGTAATATTAATATTTTTTTATTTTATCCTATACGTCCACTAGGTATATTAATGAATGCAAGAAATTACAACACATTCTTACTTAAACGCTTTCTAAAATCAATAAATAATTTAAAAACTAAACGAAAGTTGTTCCGTTTAGTTAAAATATAATATTTTGAAGTGTAAATTTTTTTTTATTTAGTATAAAAATGAGTGAGAAGAAAAATAGAATAAGTAGAAATAGAAATTTTTTTTATTTTCATTTTTATTATTATTATTATTATTATTATTATTATTATAATTTGATAAATGAAAGTAAAAATTCGTCGCTGTTAATAATTTGTTCGAGTGTGTCAATTAAAAGGATAAGGATAGCGAGGTGATTTTATTAGTTAATGAAAGTGAACATAATTCATGAATTCTTTGACGAAGGCCTCTTTACTTATAAAGAGGATTATTCACGGACGACTAAACTAACGAGAATGTGACATTATAAGTTTGCGCCCGACTTTGCAAGGAGTCTCATGGCAACCTTGTATTCTACGTTCGATTTAACTTGACGCTCTTTCTCTCTCTCTCTTTCTCGTAGAGTATTTCTTCTCTTGGCAGTCGTGATTGCAGGTTCTCTAAAATTTAGAGTGGAACACAGTCAAGACAAGGGTAGAAAAAACGGCGTGTCCCATTACGTCCCACTCCATAGTTAAAATCGCCATGCTCAGGAAGACAAAAGCTGAGCATTAGGTGAGCACTCCTGCGGAATATCAATGTTAAGCTTTCGAAAGCGCTTTTTAAGTCGCTTTCTTGGCTCCCAACCACTTCTTCTTCTCTCTCTCTGTTTTTGCCCCAGACAGCGGATATTCCATTCTACTTTGAGGTAGCATGCAAATATGACCCCATATATATATATATATATATATACATACACACACCCTTTACGAATTCACATTTCCAAAAACTGCACGCTCTTTCACAAAAGCCACATTCGCGATATGGAATTAAGAAGCAAGACATTTAAAACAATGCTTTCTCAGATTTTCATATTTTTGTTGCAAAATTTTATCTTATATTTTTTTTTGTATAAATAAAATCAACTTTTTCGGAATTAAAAAATGCATTTTCAAAAACAAAACTTTTTTTTTTGTAATGAAAACATTATTTCTACTTTGGTATTATACTTCGATTGACAATTGGAGCATCAAACATATTTTCTCGTTTGGCGAGACATGGACGAGATTTATTTCTTGTCGGAAAAAAAACTGGGATTGAAGGTTCGGTCGAAAGCTGTTCGAGACCAAAGAAACCGTAATTCTTTCTGTGATGTAGGAAAAGAGAGAGAGAGAGAGAGAGAGAGAGAGAGAGGGTGAGAAGAAAAAACAAGCTTTCCAAAGGTTTAAGTTTTTTTCACCTTTTTTTCCCTCCTATTTTTAGGGTAATTTAAAGCTGAACATTTAAGTTCTATTATCCCGAATTGCATGATTGTTTTGTGTCTCTTGCTGATATATGTTAATTTGTTATTCTCACTTGTTCGCCAGTAATTATATTGACATCCGTTATACGCACGAACACACATTTCTCCTTTTGTCTCGAGGGACTTTGTTATTCACTCTCTTGAGACTCATCTCAGTCTAATTCAACTGACTCATCTGCCTTCTCAAAAAGGAATAAGCGAGAATCAGTATTCATGAACTGTGACATCCCCATGAAACTAAATTGTGCAACTTTTTTTTTTTTTGAAAAAAATCTTACATTTTTGTGTAAAGCAATTTTTAGATAAACATCAAGATCAATGTGGTGTAAACTTTTTTTTTAAATTTATACAAGTTATATTAAAATTTTCTTTAAGAATCACATACTCTTTTTAAGAAAAATTGTTTATCGAAAAGTAAAGTTAAAAAATTGAAAATAACGTACAGTCTGTCTCGTATTTTATGATCAGTAGTAAAAGTAGATTTTAGTCAGGCAGCCAAATTCTGTAGTTTATTATCAGTAGTAAAAGTAT